CGACAGGGGTTTTATCGCGTGAACTACTTTCGCCGAAAATTAATCTTTCGTCATCATGCAAAAAGGGTCTAGTTTAACAACACTAGCTAATCCTATAATAAAATATGTCCAATACCCTTATTATATTCATCGTACAAATAACAAATCATTACCAGTGTATATTGATCTCAAAAATGGAAGAACACGAATATTAACTATTTTGAGAAGAATTGAAGGTGATATTCAGGTAATTTATAGGTATTATGAAATAATTTTATGACTAAAAAAAGATTCGCCTATTAACACAATAAAATTGTAGGCACTTCGCGATGACATCAAAAAGGATCTCTTTCCAAAAGATCACTCTACTCATTCTAAAGTTACAATCAATCATACAAATAATAATGTAGTTATCAAAGGCGATTATTGCTTTTTATTGAAAAAATGGCTAATGGACAAAGGATTTTGATAAATCACTTTAGACATATTCAATTCAGAAATTCTATTATCAAGTGTTAAATAGAATGAATAGAAAATTCATTTCATTCATTTGACTTAGTTTTTCTTCTTTTCGCCCGTGGTCTATTATCATCTAAATCAGCCGTCTCTTCTACGATTGGCTCTGTTTGTAATAAAAAATACGATCTTAATAAATGATTTTTTTTTTTTAATGGTAAAATTAACCATTAAAAGTTTCATACCATCGTCGTCATTAACCAACACGCATGTAAGCTTATGATTTAGATATACTTTATATCTCTGTTCATGGAACTCGCCTATTTTATGTACACGTAGGAATCGATCCGCACTAACAGTAACTAAAGACGAGGACTTATGGTGGATGGACAAATTGGTCACACAGCCCGAAGCCCCTTAAAATTTTACGTAAATTTATTAATATAATGAATTGACAATGATATAATAAGAAGAATTAAATGAACCTTTGGGATAGCCTTTGTATTGTCCTACATTTTTCCCTAAATATATAAGAGGAAAACATATTATATATTTACAATAAATAAATTGGCTCGTTCCGATCCAAATGACATTGTCATAATTAACACATACCATTCCTAAGATCCACAGTAAAGATATTACCAACAGTGTCAGAAAAAATGACTTCACTGCCGAAAAATGAAAACAAGTTATACATGCATAACTTTATACACAAATCAGCACACGCCGAAAGGTACATAGAAAAAATACTTTGGATTTTGCCCTACGATTAGCGAAACAACCGCCTTATGGCCAACGCTTGCTTCAAACACAGGTCGACGTTGCGCTTTAATATCATATAATCGTACCTGATTCATAAATGTAATATATAATATTAATAATAATTGAAAGTATTTTTAGAAATAATTGACAAAAAAACACATCTATTTACCTGATGGTATTTCGTTCCAGTTAAAATCTTTGTTGTCCTTTGTTCGTCTAAGAATTGTATATCAGTAATCCAGATCGGAACTCGCAAATCTACAAAGTCACTTTTTACGTTTTTCCCATTCCAAATCATTCCGTTCTTTGATTCTTTATTTTTTGTAATAATTGAACCAGGAGTGCAGTTTATATCCCATAAAGACAAATCACGTTCTCTTCCTCCGCATGCAAATATATTATTTTCTTTTGGATGTACTCTCAAACAACACAAATTCGACGCGTAATCAATGGTTTTATCTATATATGAAGGCTGAAAAGGATCCAATAATTATGATTGTTTCAAACCATATCAAAAAAAAAAAAAAAAACTATATAATTACATTGTTAAAATCGCCAGAATTGATGGGTTGATACCGAATTGTGCCACCGCTAACACATGTCACTAAGACGCTTAAAAAATTTTTTTTTAATTATAATAAATTGATTAATCTTTTATGAACCGAAAAAAGTGATTTATTAATATATTAAATCTATTATAAAACTTACTTTTTATTTGCGAATAGGCCAGTAAATTTCGATGGAAACTTTTTACTCCTTTTAGGGACATCAGCAGCAACCTCTTTATTGATAAATTCTTTATAAATTTTGAACATTTTACCATCTTTGTACGGCTCAATGATTTGTACTAAACCACTATTACGCGCGACTACGATCTAAATCATCAAAGAAATAATAAATTATAATTAAAAAATGATTTTAGCATAAATTAATATTAATAATTTAAACGCCTTAAACAAGTATTAAATATTATTTAATCAACCTGGTTTCGTCCATTAAAAATCTTTGCTTGACACATATATTGTATACCTTGCTCACGACGAACTTTTCCCATAGTTAATTCCGGAGGAGCCTCCTCATTTAGGGGATTTAGCTCATAATCATTTGGTATAGTAAATACTGTAATATCAAGTTACTTCATATAGAAACTTTTAATAATTTACACCAAAAAAATAATAATAATAATAATTTACCCTTAACTAGTCCTACTTCATCACCGGTAATGCACCTCATTTTTTGATAAGAATGATGTTTAGATGTTTGGTTATCCAAATCGCGCCGACAAAAAATTCACGTATAAAAATAAAAAAAAAGTATTCATGTGATAAAACTACGGTGTCAGGTAACACGAAATTAAAAAAAAAAGAAATGTTAGGCTAATTTCGAAATTTTGCTTAAGAAACTAGCTCTTAAGCTCTAATAAATCGAAATTCTTGCAAAATCTTAAGATAAATGAACTCTTTTTTATCTATGATATGAATTTTAGAAACTGTTAACGAATTTTTGGTAAAAATCTTTGTTTTTAGACGCGTATCTACACATCTTAGCTTTCGCACAATTATACAGTATTATGTGATAATGCTTGCCAAATAACTCGATTTATTATTATTTGACAGTTGATGTAGTCAATTAGCAATTAGCAATCGTAAATCACTCATTAATAAAATTTAATTATCGAAAAAAATTTTAAAAGGTAAACCTATAAAAATAGTTGCTGCAGATCCCTTCTTGGACTACTTTCAAGGTTTCATGTAAAAAGGAAAGTTTTATTGAAGCATCATTCTCATAAAAAACTTTGTAAAGCTCAATTTAGATTATAAAGTTTAGAATAACTTGTTCACATGATGGAACTTAAAGGTTTCTGTAACCATATC